CACACCCAATTCCACCCACCCTTAGTTTTTGTTCTCTCAGTAGAGTGCTGCTAGCAGATTTTGTTCCACAACACATCAGAAGTCTCTGCTCAGGGAAAGGAGGAGCTCCAAGTGTAGAACACAAGGGGCTTGTTTGTTTCAAAGGTCTTGAAGGAAACAGCCTGATTTCTCCAGCAGAAGAACAAAGCCAAATACTGGAGTCAAGCAAAGGAATGTAGAGGGCCCTGGGTACAACAGACTTCGAAGGAAAGGCAGAGAATGTAGAAGAGGGCTTGAGGGGGTGGGGAAGCTGAGCTCACTGCATCCCAATCGGACAACATCATGCAGGAAACAGATGTGCAACAAACCACAAAAGGGTACAGCAACAGGAGAATTAACTACCCTGCATCTGGGACATGCCAGGACACAGAGCTGCCCCTTGCAGGCTAGGAGTGAGGTGTTTCTACTTATTGTCCTCATAGCACTTCCCAAGTCAAGAACCTGGGTTCTTGCATGGGCAATATTGGAAATTCAGAAAAGGAGTCAGCAAAATCTTCTTCCCAAAGATTACCTATCCTCTCAAGTCCCCAGCAAACAAAGTAAAACAAAGTTTGGGCCAACGCTTGCCTCAGCATCATGTTCTTGCCTCCCTTGTCCTTAGCAGCTCCACTGCAGAAGACCTGATGAGTTGACCCTAAGCTAACCTAGCCTTTCCAGATATCACATCCAGTCCCGTTCCTAACTGGAGATAGGCTCGAGTTGCCTACTTTGGGGGACTAAATGTGTTAGTAGGGTTAAACAGAGTTATAATTTGACTCACATAGAATTCCCATGGAGAATTTTGTCTAAATGCACAGGCTTCTGGACTTGGCTATAAATGAATATAGGGAGGCATGGTAGTTGTGTAGAAGTCCTGGTGTTGATATAATATCCCTGTCTTGATGTAATATCCCTACCATCTTCAGGTCATGTCTGGGACAAGCTGTAGTTTGGGAGTAAAATTGGACTACAACCTGAGAGTAAAGTTGCACTAGCAAAACCAGCTGTTTCTTCCATAGTCCAAGTCAGACTGACCAAAACAAGGTTCATCCTCATTCACGGTCCTTGACTCTGCAGCTTCCTCTCCCAGTACACCCATCATTACAAACAACGTTATAATTTTCTGTGGGATCTGGTACTCCCATCAATGGCAATGGAAGAGGTGGGCATTTCTGCAACCAGGTTTTCCAAAGCTTAACTACAGATGTGGGTGCCTATTTTGAGCCAACTTCACTAACATTTTGGCCAGGACCTCCATTCATTACTGTGCCCCCAGAGTTGTTCAACAAGGACTCCATGAGAAGAGTTCCCTCTCCCTGAATCACTGATTGTGCCTCCCCCCTACACTGCTCAGATGCTCCCACTCTTAAGGAACAAGGTGCTCCCTTGTGAGGCTCTAACAAGGCCACAAAAGACCATTTGTGTATGTGAAGGAATTCAGTGATGAGGAAGGCATGAGATTGAGCTGGAAGTCATCAGTTCATCAGTGTTGCCAACCTTCACTATTTTATTCCAACTCTTATAACTAGGGTTTTTCTTAAAGCCCTAGCTCCTAGTATCAAGACAGGACTTGAGAATTTTGTTTTATAGACCTCAACAGCAGAAAGCAAAGAAAAAGACCTCAACATGGATTATTAAAAAAAATATCTTGTGATTTTAAGCCAGACACAATTTTGCATCCTGGGGATTACCTAGAATGAGTTACCCCACAAAGAGAACAGTCCCACTCCACCATCCAACCTGTGTGCTTCACTGGCAAAGGGTGTTTAGATTCCCATGTCCCCTTAAAGTCCTTGGCTTCTCTATTGAGACTGCCAGCAAGAAGAACAGTTAGGATCCTCTCTGATGACAACAGGAGCTAGCTAGAAATCTAGCAAGCTCATTTCATGCTAGCTTCTAACCAGCCTTTAGAGTTTAGACTGAAACGACTTTCAGACACTGATGATCCAGGTCATACGTGAGGAGTCATCCTAGTGGCAAAAGGCTTTGTATCCCAATACCAGCTGCTGTACCTGCTAACATCATTTGACTCTGAATTCCTACTATGTAATAATAATCCATTATACTTCTACAGAACCTTTCATCCCATGGTTGGTCCTCAAGCCTTTGTAAAAACTGAATTACATGAACCTTCGATGAGGCAGAAGCAGCATTTTGTTGAAATGCAGCCATCTGGTGCAGAACATGATAGACTACTACTTAACAGTTAAGGACAAGAAATGACAGAAGGGGAAATTTTGATACCTTAGGCAGAATATAATTCTCTCCACTGGAATTTGGCAAGGACACAGGGACTTGCAAAAAAAAGCACAATCAGCTTTTGAATAACCACACGCCATCAGGAACTGGGTTTTCTCTCATCTGAACACAGTACCTTCAGAAGCACAGCGCCCCCCAACAGCCCATTGAGTCAACACTGAGGCCCTGATCCAGAAAGAAGAAAGCCGCACTGACTTGCCAACACCGCTTCCTGCAGCACCCAGATGTTCCTGAGAGCTCACCCTCCCCAGCACAGTTGATCTAACATTCCCTTCACTTATGAAAGCTTGCAGGACCACAGCACAAGGCAGCATTTGCAAGCTGGCATAAAGCTGCTCTTTATTGGTTTATGCCAATTGGTTCTGCTCTGTGCGTGGAGCAGAACCAATCCGACTTGCCTCCAGCTGCCCCTTCTCCACCCTGGCCTGCTGCTCCAATTAATCCTTCTGGGTGCCTTTGAAAAATCGGCTTTCACAAAGTTCCACAGCAGAAAGTTTTTTCTGGACCACAGTCAAGCTGCCTGACCCCTATATCAGGACTGCCGACTGCTGTGAACCAATACCCCGTGATCTCATATCCTTGCCTGTGAACAGGCCAGCGCTAGAGCCAGCATCCCGCCCCCCGCAGACTCCCAGACTCATCTGCTTTCCCCACGAAGAATTCTGCTTACAAAGGAAAGTAACTCTTGCCTACTAGCTCCACAAACCTCTTGCTGCGGGGTTACCAGCTGGTCCTGGCAGACCACTGGATTTGGGATAGTTAAACTGTTTTGCTAACTGTAATCTTCCATGTCCTAGCTTCCCTTCTAAATTCATCCCATAGTTCCAGTCAAAGCAGGACAGGAGATTTACAGCGCAGCAAATAACAGAGTCCCCCTCCTCCCTGCCCCAGTATTAGGCTTGGTTTCAAGTATTGACCCTCAGGGCACTGCCACCCACCTCCATCCCCTATCCCTATAATCTGACTCATAGGTTTCCTTAGGGGTACAGAACAATTGGGTCTTTCATTTCAGGATCACACAGCTTTGCACACTACACAGCCAACAGGATTATATAAAGGGACAAGATTTGACTTTTCCTCCATGCTGTTCCTTGAGACACACTATGGAAATGGGTTTAGCTGTAACCTGCCTATATACACCAGCACCCCGCCCTTTTTTTTTAAATAAAGTCTAAGAACTTAGCCTTGCTTTCCTGGCACAGTTCCAACTGGGGTAATCCTCTCTGAATTCCCCCAGCAGTTTCCACTGGATAGGTGATTCTTGCTTTTTCCTGTCTTGAACAGCTGTGCAGGGCTACTGTACACTGCTGTAAATAGTTCCTCCCTCCCCAGCAACAGCTGCATTTCAGTGGCACATGAAATTCATACCCTCAGTTCCATCTATGTTTGCACAACAATGCTAGCGTGTTCTGATTGTTTTAAAGTTGGTCACATTGGTGTGTTGTTTTAGATCATCTGAATAAGTAAGCACATGGAAGATTTTGTAAGTAATTCAGGTTACTGTGAATTTTCACTTGGCACTATCCAGAGAGACGTGTTATAATATGCACATTATTACATGGATGTCATGTATGTATGTCATACATGCTTCTTATATAATGGAAGAGACCTGCTGGAGTATCTAGTCCAGCTCTCTGCCAGTGCATACATCAATCATCCTCATCGTCAAGGAGAAGACTGTATTGTAAGACCTACCCCCTGTGGAGCTGATGTTGCTTCAAGAGCTTTTCAGCTCTGTGTAGCCTGAATTTGTCAAGAGAAACCAGCTGGGAACACAGTGTTAACACAGATAGGGGTCAGGGCAGTGGGGACGGCAGAGGATGCATTTATTCTTTTCCCAACTATCTTGCAAATACAGACTCTGCCTGCTGAGGTCTCAGCTGCCTCTTTCATCCTCCAGCCCTATTTTAAGACAACTGCTCCATTCCTTTCCTCATCTCAGACTAACCATTTCAAAACCCAAGCCCTCTGACCTCATTGCAGGCACCCTGTCTGACCCACCATATGCTTGTACAAATCTAGGGAAGAGGGGATTATGGGGAAAGAGAAATTAACAGGCAAAGACAGGGAAATAATTAGCTCAGTGCCCCCTCCAAAAGTTCCCCAGACATCCCTCCTCCATCTATTGATTCATCCCTTCTGTCCTTACTCAGCGTAGTGATTAAAGTATGAGAAGGGACATAGGTATGCAACAGGGAGGGGCAGATGGGACATGCCCAGTTCCCCCCACAGGCCCTCTCCTGCCTGCACTGCCTCCACTGCCTTAGATTTCAGTGGAAGTCCAGTCTCAGGACCTGGAAGGGATCGACTCTAAGCATGGCATTGACTGGCCAGCCTGGAGCCTTTCATGCTTGCTGTCCCCCTAACCTGGCCTGACGGTTGGAGATCAGTTAGTCCTGTCTCTTCGCACATCCTCAACCAGCCTGACAGCCCTGAGTGACACCCCCATGCCACCCCATACACATACACTGAGGCTCTCCCCACCCAGCAGTCAGCCTGCAAGAATCATGTAGACATCAAAGTGATCTCCTGGGCATTCATTCATTGTGAATAGGGCAAGAGCTGCACTTCCACAAGATACAAGATTTATACGTTCCCTGTCCCTAGAGGATGGGCACAGGGTAGCTTTTGGTTTAGTCTTGCCAGCCAAAAAAAAAAAAAAAAAGGGTGGGGGGAGCATATGGTCCCCCCTAGCAAAGCAAGAATAGAAAAGAGGCAATTACCATCCTGCCCAGAGCCCTCCAGATATTCCGTCAGGTCACAGCCGAACACGCTCGCGACTCCCTTCCTCTTGAGCTTCTGCTTCGCTCCCTTGTTCTTCATGAGTTAGTCCCAAAAGAGGCTCACCCCCCTCCTGCCGAACCCCCCTCCCCCCCTCACACCAAGCGCAGGCACAGCTCACGCTTCTCCTCAGACCACTGCCTGTATCCCGCTCCCGGGAGGTGACATCGGGGGTCTCGCAGGACGTCCGGCCAGAGAAATGTGCATTAATCCCCACCAGATGTTGGGTTGCTCGTGTGGCAGGGGAAGATCAGGACGAGAGGAGGCTCCCCAGCAGGCAGCAGCAGTGATCATAGCCCAAGCCCGGAAGGGATCTCATCAGAGGGTGGTGGGTGGTAGACTGGTGTCCACATCAGAGCTGGCGAGTCAGGGCAGACGAAGGCTGAGGTGGGTGTCGTCTCCTCAGTGGGCCCCTCCAAAGCCACCCACAGGATGGAAAGTCAGTAGGTCCTGCCCACTGTTGAGAGGAAAAACTCCCTTCTTTTTAAACTTCTTTCTTCCCTGAACTTGTGGAAGAAACTGAAAGCTCCAAAAACACCAATGAAGAGGGACCCAGGCAAAGGCTGTATGAGGCTCCTCTTAGCTCTCCAGCCCTGCCTTCCCTTGCCCGTTTGCCTTCGGACAGCAGTAGTGGAATGAGAAACAAGTTTCCTGTCCTCCCTCTCCCTCTCCCCTCTCTCTCCTTTTCCCCTGTTTTACAGATCCTGGGATTATCCAGCTCAGGAAATGCTGGAAGGAAGTTAGCTGAGGAGGGGGCGGAGGATGGCCGTTTTTTTGGCAGCGGAGAGTGTGTGCAGTAGGGATGAGGGAAGGCAGACAGTGAAGTTTGGAAGGGGAGGGCAGGGGGTGGGGGGAGCCTGTCCTGACAGACGAAAGATAACGGACTGCCTCAAAGGAAATCACGACTCCCTGAGTGGGGGCCACGGCTTGGAGATCAGTCGCTTCCTGTGCCACAAATGCTCCGCTTTGAAAAGGCCTGCCGAGGAGGAGGCGAGACCAGAAACAGTTTCAATAAATGCCCTTCTCTGTTCATTGATTCTTTTGTCGTGAGACATCTTCCTGCCTTGCACACTCCTCTCCTGCTTCAGAGTTTGTGCTTCTCTCCAGAAGCACGTGCAGATGAGCTGGGAAGCAAGAGGCAGAATGCTGAAACGCTGGAAGGGCAGGAGCAGGAGGGGAAGGGATCCCTGAGCACCCCTCCACCCCCGCCTCTCCCTCCTGAGCTCCCCTCCCAGAGAGTAGAAACAGATGCTGTTGGACCTCTTAAGTTCATGCACTTTGGAGTCAGTTCCCAGAAAATGCTCTTCCTGACTTTTGAGTCAGGCAAGAATCAGAAATCCCCCAACGTCTAGGGAGAAAAGAAGAAAGAGGCAGAGATCTGGATGGCTTTCCCCTCAGACTGAGAACCCCTAAAGTTTGTGGGACACTCCACAATAGGCACGCATACATGATAACAGTAACCTCTTGGCTTTTCATGGTATCTTTCAAGCAAGGATCTCAAAGCTCCTTCCAGAGATGAGTAAATTAAAAGGGTTCCCACTTCATCACTTACATAGGTCAAATGTGTAACCCTGACAGACCCTTGTCCATCCCATTCTGAAGCCAATAGGACTCCAAGAACTTTGGTTTAAACAAGGGGAAAAGAAAGAAAGAAAGAAAGAAAGTAAGAAAGACTTTGACTTTTAAGACTTTGACTTTTGACTTTTAAGAGGCATTTATTCCAGGGAGGGTGACAAATCGGGGCCAGTAGAGATTATGTACAGGTTGGCCCAGAGATCTGGGCTTCATGGACAAGGCCTGGGCTCATGACCTGCAAGACCTGCCCGCACACCGTAGACAAAAAAAAAATAAGGGACAAAGAAATATATACATATATACAGTTCTACAGCAGGGACGCCCAGGGGGGCCTCAGGACATCAGGGGTTGGCCCGCACGGGCAACCGAGGTCTCGGCTCGCTGGACCCATCCCTGCACCCTGAGCAGGTGGTGGCATCACAGTGCAAGGAGCAGGCATCCCCCCTCGACTCGGCACTGCACCCCCAGCGTTCCTCAAAGGTGGGCACCGTCCGCCAGAGGACTGCATGCTCGAATTCAAGTGAGAGGAGGCCCGCACCATCAGACGGAAAAGCTGCAGGGCGTCGTCCATCCTGGTCCCAGTGAGCTGGTTTCAATGGCTCTTAAAGAAAGAAAAGCCTGGGTCTTCATTAAAATTGTTGGCAGTTTGACCCAAGTGGAAGTGAGGGGCTTGGCTTGGGGAAGCTGAGGGGATAGCCAGAATTGGCAGAAAGAGTTTCCCTAGCTTTAATCTAAGCTCCACCTCAATGGTAAGTGCCGTCTGGTCACTCAGAATATAGCAGGGGGGAATTTTAGAGGGAGTTGGGCCTTGCCAGCTTTCTGATTTTGCACCAGACATCAATAAGGCTCTGTTCACTAATACAAAGGACTGCTCCCCAGATTTTCAAATGGATGGATGCCATTTGCAAAAGTTATCTTTGTTTACTGCACGCACAGGAAGGTCAGCGAGCTGAGAGGAATGCCTTACAAATATCAGCCCATTTTAGAGCTGGAGACAACTGAGGCACAGAGAAGGGATGTGGCTTGATTCATAATCACACAGGGAGTTAGTGTCGCACAAAACTCAAACCTCCTAACTCCTGATCCCCTGCTCTCAAAAGGAAATCCCTGTTCATTCTCAGAATCGGGAAATGAACTTAGTCCTCCTGCTGCCCACTCTCATGCCTGGACAGCAGGCTCTTCTCAGGGTGCCTCAGTGCTGGCCTGGCTGTCAGAGCCTTTGAAGCTTTCTGAATATATTTTTGGCTTCTGGACATATCTTGATGTTGGATGAAATACAGAACTTGGCTCTGCCGCACCACACTATCAGCTCACCTCATGCCACAGCACATCCCGAGTGACTGACAAGGGGCAAACTACAAAAGCATCTGATGGCTGTTGCAAACAGAAGGGCTCTAAAATGGGGGTGTTTTGCTAAACCCTATTCTAACTTATCTGAGCTGATAGCTGGTTTCTGTGGGAAGAAGAAGTTCATCATCTTGCCCCTCTGGGTGGCTTCAAAGAAGGCTTTTTCTTCTGCACACAACAGCTGTACCCTGGGGAGCTGAGGACCCATGATATAATTCCATAAAATTAGTCTGATTCACAACAGGTTTCAGTTGCCTGTATCTTACATCTAGTGTTTCATTTCTGGCAGGCTCCTAACTCCTGCCATCATCCAAAACCTACTTTACAACCCTCTTTTGCCAGAACTGCACAATGTCCAATTCAAGACATCTTCAAATGGAGAGCACCTACCATTGCATGGAATCAGTCCCTGCATTACAGAGGCAACCTGGTCCCCACTGTCTGCTGGTTTGTAACCTAAAATGTGGCTATACACAAACCAGAGAAGAAAAAAACAGTGGTTGGGATGGTTTAGATAGGGATGATCCCACCTCAGGCAGGGGATTGGATAGAGGTCCCCTTTGAGCCCTACTTCTCTATGATTTCTATCACTAAGGCTGAGGAGGGGTTCTTGGGTTTTCTCAGAGAGCACCAAATCCTGAGGGGAATTTCCACCCAGGCACTGATCTTCAATAAGGGCTTTGCCTTTGGAAAGTATGGATTACGAATGGAGTCAGAATCCCCCCAAGATAAGAGCCCTTCTGAGTCTGTGCAGACAGACTGCGACAGACACTTCTGCACTTGTTCAGTTATTACTTAAAACAGGGCTGGACTTGATGAAAAGGCCCAGTGAAGTCAAAGTGATTGTGGAGTAAGATGGTCCAGGGTCAGCACTACAGCACTCTACTGCTATAGTCTAGTGCCCCACCATTGTGATTCTGAAGAGAAGTGTCCCCCTGCTCAACATTAACATCTATTTTAAGGATGAATTTGGGGAGGAGGGAAAAGATTTGAACTGAAGCAAGAACTGGAACAAACAAGGAGTCCACATTGCTTGCTGTTTCTAAGGGTACTGCTATTGCCTAACTCCAGCTATGCGCACACCTCCCATTGACTCCACCAGGATCCCTATGTATACACAGGGCTTGCAGACTGGCCTGCATTCTGACTGTGCGTCCATCTCTTGCCCCGTCTTTCCTCCTTAATGTGCTTTTTGCTGTGCTTTATCATGGAAGATGTCCTGAGCTTCAACCCTGGTAAGTTTACCTCTTGCCATACTACAATGCAGCTTTAGTTGGCACTGTCTTTTTCTCCGTCTCTCAGCCTGCTGAGCATCATAACTAATGAAATGAATAGCAGAGCATGGAGGAATGAAGAGATGTTATGTGCAAGGGGAAAAATATGTGTTTTCACATGAAACTCGATAAGAAACGGGGTTGAGGAGGCAGAGCATTATAAGCTCTTGGCAGACAGCAAGAGGAGTGGAGAAAGTGGCATGCACCTGAGCAATGACAAAACCCTGTGGAAGGATACAGGGGAGGTTACTGCAAGATTAGGGGGGAATTGGAGGCTTGAAAAGAGACAGACAGAGCCAGCAAGGTAGGAAGAAGCACAACAGTGGAGGCTTTTCCAAAAGACATCAGTATTTTAATTGGCTCCTGAAATAAATGTTGAGCCACTAGAGCGGGCTGAGAAGGGGAGAGACACCGCTCTGTTATTGATATATGAGAGAAAATCAAGAGCATTCATCTGCATTTGCACAGTCCTGAAGGGCCTGGAGTCTAGGACGCTTGCTGGAGGGTAGGACATTTGCTAGGCATAGAGAATGGGAAGACAGAAAGGAAGGTAACAAAGGTTAAGGTAAAGAACAGGTGAGGGCAGGCATGAAAGTTTCAGCAGAGGCAAAGTCAAGGTGGCTTCATTTATAGAAAACCTCATAGAAATGTGAAGATAAAGAGTCCAAGCCAAAAGCCTGGACAGTGGAAGCCAAAAAGGAGTTCAAAAGTTGAAGAAGGGATAGGAAAGAGGGGTTAGAGGGGTGGAAATTCATCTACCATAAAAATGAGAGACTACAGAATAAAACAGGCACACAGTCCATGTGGAACATACTTTCCTAGGAGGGCCACTTCGCTACCTGGGTTGGAAACGACATAAAACAGCATGTTACTCTGTACTTTATCCCCAGTCAGGATGTTTGGGCCTCGTTTTGAAATCTTGATTTTGAATTTAGAAAACCAGTCATAATTCGAGGTGAGTCGCAGCACTTTCATCATACAGCCAGTCAGGTGGCCTTTGGGACAGAAGGGAGATCCAGCACAGTCAGTTCCCCCTTGGGGTCTCACAAATTAGCCAGGAGAGGACACTGCAGACTGGTTTGTGTGAAGGAAAATAGGGCAGCTAATTACTCAACGACCTTTTCTCCAGGGATGGGAGATTTGTGGCCCTGTAAACCGTAGAAGGTCCTGGAGAACAGGTTTTGTCACAAGGCCTAGATGACATATTTCTCTTCTGAGCTCCAAGGGCTGAAAGGCAGACATCACTCCAGGGCTATTTCTGGAAGCTCATCTCCCTTCCCCTTCACCTCCCCCTACAATTGTTTTTCCATCACTATAGTAAACTCTTTTCTCATCCGTAGCTTTTAAATCTCCACCGATCTGCCAGGCGCCAAGAGGCACAAAAGGGAGGGTAGGAGCTGGGCGAGGGAGGGAGGCCAAGGGGAGAAAAAAAACCCAAACCCCTAAAAATAGCCCAGTTGAGTAAGAGTGTTTTCC